AAGCCTGTGGTCTCAGCTACTAGAGAGGATAAGGGGAAAGGATTGCTGGAGCCCCAGAGGTCGAGGCTGCTGTGAGCCATGATCACACCACTGCATGGGCAACAGCCTGGGCAACAGAGAGAGACCCTGTGAGCCATGACTGCACCACGGCATGCTAGCCTAGGCAAGAGAGAGAGATCCTGTCTCATTCATACATACATATATCCATAATAAAAGTAATTTTAGAAAAACCGTAAGAATTTTTAAATCTCCATAATGTATTAGTGTAAAACTAAACAAAAAGTAATGCTTAGAAAGTTTCATTCCTTAGTTCCTGCTCAAGCGGTGATAAACTTGAGTATAAAAAGGGTAGGAAGGGGTCCTTTTCGGACTCAAAAAATTGAAGTCTTACCTGAGTTTGTTTTAGATGAACTTAGAAATCACTTACCTTCTTAAATACACTGAAATTCAAAAACATCTGATAGTAATTAGTGCTGGTTGCTAAGAATTCAAACTCTTATTACATATCTTATAGTATATAGCTATTACTAATTGAAATATTATTGTGCAGCATTTTTTTGTGAATATTTAACCTAAGTAACAGAATCTGGCGCTTTTTAATACACTTAAGTAATTCAATACATGGCACTTACAGGACATTTCTTCAAGACATCCTATATCTCAGAAGTCTATTAAAGATGCCAGATCCAACTCAATTTCTATATCTAAAAATCACAGGAAAAACCAAAACTATGACTTAATGTTAAATAATTTACATCACTTTCCTTTCGTATGTATTAAGTAGAAGCAATTTGTCACTCCTAAGCAAGGCTTTTGTTCCTTAGACATTTCTCTTTCTCGTTCATGTGAAATCTAGCTATCAATAGGAGATCTCAAAAATAACATAAACAGAAAGCAAACTGAAGCAATACAAGGATGTATACTCCTCATATATGAATGAAAATACTAATAATAGAAAAGCACCAATAATTAAAGTCTTAAATTATCATTTAAGGTTTGCTACAAATAATGTAAACATGCAAAAAAAAATTCTGATGCGAGAAAAACCATAACATTTAGTTTTTTTGGTACATCTATCTGCAAAAAAGATGAAGATACATTTAATATAAGAAAACAATCCTTTCCAAATTGACATACTAATGCACATAACAGAATTTTAAAGTGATAAGGACTCAACAATAAAGATATAAGATGAAAATTTTTTATGCTTAACTATATTGAAGTATCAACCTATTCTACCATAATTACCTTGGAGAAATTTCAAATTATATTAATAATTGTTCAACTTAAAGGTCTTTAATGCTATACTTAATAGCAAAATGCCTATCTTTCAAAATCTATACAAATTATTATGCATAAATGAAAATTTTTTCAAAACAAATGATTTAATCTCCAAAAAGCACATCTGAAAGTCCCTTCCACTTTCTAGAGTTACCTTGCAAACATCTTCCTTCTCAGAAAGTGCTTCTGGCTGACTTTCAGCAGATTTGCACTGCTCAGTCACCTTATCTAACACAGTCTGTCCTTCATTTATTGGTGTAGAAGAAACCAAAATATCAGGCTGTTCACAGTTAACAGGAGTTGCACTTCGTCCACTTTCTTCCATTTCTGTCTCCTCAGTGGGTATAACTAATGTTTCATTTACTTCTTCAGATTTTCCTTCAGCAGATTCAACTGTTTTAGACTTTGGAGTTGAAGAATTAACTATAATAGGCACTAAAGCATATCCCTTGCCTGACAATTCATCATCTGAATTGATTTCACTTACACTCCGGCTATCTAATGACTGTACACTAAATGAGTCTATTCTTTCAAAAGCATCAGATGAACAGCAACTCTCAGTGAGTTTTTGGAAATCATCTAAACGATTATATTCAGGACAAGCAGATGTAGAGAGAAGCTGAAAGGATGTCTGCATCAGGTGAAGACTCGATTTTGAATCTGTAGTCTCTTGTCTTGAGCTCGCTGAGCTCTCACTTATTACACTTTCATGATCTAAAACTTCAATATCACTGGTGGTAGAAGTACCTGATGAAAAGGTGCTAACAGGAGGAGAAGGTGTATTGCTCTGCCTATCTTCTTGTTTTTGTTCCTTAGGTTCCAAAGCCATGTCCTTTGTTTCTGCTGTGAGAGACTGTGTAGACATATTAGATATACTTTCCGTAGTTGTTTTCACATCAATTACACCTTCAGATACTTTCAAACATACAGTTGGCATCTTCATATCCAATTCTTTATTAACAGTTTCTTCATGCTTGCCTTCAGTTTTAGGTGATGAAGTACCTGCTGCCAGGGTTTCCCCTGAAACACACAAAGAGGAGTCTTTTACTTGGGATTCAGTTGTTTCAGGAGTTCTTGACTGTCCAATGTGCAAGGATTCATGTAAGCTGCTTTTCACTTCTTCTTCTGGTCGTTGTGATTTTGCTGGAGGTTTTGATACCACTGGACTCTTCTGAATAGTCTGGACATCAGTTGGCGAGAGAAAGGCACTGAAGAAATTTTCAGATTCATCGACCACAGTCCTCCGAACTGGCTTTGTGATTGCTTTAGGAGAGGCTATTGGTGGACTCTGAGGTTCAGTGTTTGATTTCAATCCCCAGGTTGAAGTATCCCATCCTCCACTGACAGGGGGACTTATTCCTTTGACAAAAAATAAATATTAAATAAGAAGACACACATATATATATTATATTAATATTTCAATCATCATTATAAATCAGTATAAATATGAATTTAGAAAAAAATACCCTATGAAATACAACCTGTAATTTGCACCTGTGAAACTCCTTGCTTATTACATCATTAATTCGTTTCCAAGTTAATACAGAGACTTAAAGAAGAAAATTGGTGTGGATCTGCTTGAGAAAAAGGAGGAGGACAGACAAAAGATTGGACCTGGCCTGGACTATTAGATACAAGTATGTTATTCCTCCCTACAACAAATTAAGGAAGTAACAGTCTATGTTTTATAAGCCACAGTAAGCCAAAGATACCTATAATTCATGTCATAACAGGCTCTACTTATCAATATGAAATAAACTAATATGAAACTGATTGAATAGGCAGAGCCATGTGCAGTCACAGAAAAATGAACCAACCTATTCAGTCAGTTTCACATTAAGTTTTACTTGTAATATCAGTAATAAAATAGTTATGAGCTAGACAAAGGGCAACACTCAAAAAATGAACTCAGTGGGCATGGAGATTCACAACTATAATCCCAACACTAGAAGGATCATTTGAGCCCAGGAGTTCGAGACAAGCCTGGGCAATGTAGTGAGACCCATCTCTACAAA